GGCCCCTCTAGGTTTCAGGGTTATTCTTCATAAATGAAATTTGTCTGAGCTTAGTCACCAGTTTTCCTTGGGATCTCTGCTAATAGGATATCAGGTTACATTTGTTTCCACTTTCCTAAAACTTAATGTCAGTGAAGAATAGGACTGTATGTCCTCCGAAAGGATCATTCTGGATAGACATAAAGAATATGCAGGCAGTGAAAGCTCTTGGATAGACACAAGTGAATAAAAAAGTGAAATCACCCTCTCTAATTACACAGTAGAATGGCTTGCATGTTTTGACTGTGAACTCATGGTCAGAAATATATTTTGCATCCTAGACCAGTTTATGCACACAGCACAGAAACACAAGTTCCATGAAATGTGCTAATTCTTACTATGTGTGATGTACTCTGATGTTTTCTATTTTCTATTCCATTTTCTACTATTTTTTCTACTTCATTAGAAAAAAATATGTTGATAAATTATTAAGTTCATTTCATGACCCACTAATCGGTTACTAATGCCTAATGTGGTTGCAGAGACATGGCCTTAGACCATTGCAGGGCAGGGTTTTTTATGCAGACCAAAACATCCACAGCAGTTTCCTTCTTTTCCATGGAGGAGAGTCACTAATGAGAAACTCCTCCATTCTGGCCCTGGTGCACAGTCTGAGAGTGTTGGAAGCTCAGGAACTGCTGGCCAGCTGCTGGACCCTCCATTCCTGCCTGCACCCAGGCTCCAGGTCTCTGTCTTCCAGCTGTGGAATGAGGCCTGCCTTCCTCCTTGCTCTGCTGCTCTTGTATCCCCCTCACCATGGAGGCTCACATGGCATTCCCCACTGGCCTCTGCTTGACCACTGGCAGGGAGGAGGCCCGATGGGAAGGCAACCCCAAAACCCAAAGGATAGATAAAGGCCCTAGTCTTGTTTATGCAGGGCAGTTCCCTGATTTCCTTCTACTGGGTACTTCTGACCCATTTCCTTTGGCTTTTCTGGTGGCCCTGAGTCTTTTGGATGAATTTCCTGGGAGACTTTCACCGTCTCCTGGTCAGAGGCATGTGCCCTCTCATGCTAAATGCACCCTCTGATGGGGCAGGGCCAGAGGGTGGACTGAGCCTTGGGTTCCAAGGCACCAGGGCCCAGAAACTGCTGTCCCTCTAATTCACTGTGTGACTCTGGGCAAGTCACTTAGTCCTCAGGGGCCTAGATATCCTCATCCGTAAAATGAAAGTATTAGGTAATCTTCAAGGCCCCTTCTCGTTTTAACTTTAAATTCCTCCAGAGTTCCTCTGTCACTTGGGAAAGACATTTTTTTCTATCCTCCCTTAGGAAAATCTCTAGTCTCCTTCCACTGGTTATTTGATTCCTCTTTGATCTTATAACTTGCAAAACACAGAGGAGGACAAAGGGAACTAACATTTATCTCCCTAATTTGTTAAGTGCTTTATATCTCTTGCCTTGGTTAATCCTCACAACAGTGGCTTGAGCTGATACTTTTATTGTCCTCCTTTGTTATTACAGAGCAGAAAGCTGAGGCACACGTAGGTTAAGTGCTTTGCCCAAGGCAACACAGCTCATAAGTGGGGGCTCAAACTCAGGCCTGTTTGACGTGAAAACTTGTGGTAGGAGCATGACATCATGATGACTCCTCCTTTGGGCCCTTGGAAAAAGATAGCCCTGCCCCTATTGTTTAGGACCTGCCTCCTGGCTCATGTCCCTACACCTCTGATGGGGTTGAGACAAAAGGGAGACCTGAAATGCTGACAAGGTTGCAGAGAAAAAGGAACCGTCCTACATTGTTGGTGGGCCTGCTAAATGGTGCAGCCTTTATGGAAAATGGTTTGGAGCTTCCTCAAGCAATAACGGATAGATCTACCATATGACCCAGCTATTCCACTGCTGGGAATATACCCAGAGGAACGGAAATCATCATGTCAAAGGGATACCTGCACTCCAGTGTTTATTGCAGCTCTATATACAATAGCCAAGAGTTGGAACCAGGCCAAATGTCTATCATCAGATGAGTGGACAAGGAAACTGTGGTATGATCAGATGAGTGGACAAGGAAACTGTGGTATGTCTACACAATGGTTTTCTACTCTGCTGTAAAAAAGAATGAAATACTACCATTTGCAGCAACATGGAGGGACTTAGAAAAAATTATATTAAGTGAAATAAGTCAGGCACAGAAAAAGAAATACCACATGGTCTCACTTATTTGTGGGAGCTAAAAATAAATACACAAACGGGGGAGGAAGAAGACACAACAATCACAATTCCTTGAACTTGTTAAGACCAGTGAACACATGTGATGTTGATGGGTGGGAGTGGGGGGGGGGAGGAATCAGTAAAGGGACACAAAAATCAACTACATCGTATACGGATAAAATAAAAGAAAAGAAAAGGGAGACCTGGTCCTAGTGTCCTGGAATTGTGCCGGTCCTCCCAGCCCAAGCTTGGCTCAATGGGAGTTGGAAAATCCATGCCCTCTGTTTTTGTGTTAATCTCTCTCTCTCTCTTTTTTTGTTTTGGAGGGGGTGGCTAAGGTAACATTTTATACCCACTAATATGGCAAAAATAAAGTATTAAACCCATTATTAGTAGAAATATGGGGAAACAGCATGGCTTGCATATTTCTAGTACTGTAAATGATTTA